GGACGGATGGGCGCCGGGCCGCCGGCGGAGTGGGCCGACGCGTGGACGGCGGCGCTGTTGGCGGAGGCGCGTGCCCGAGTGGGCGCCACGCCGCGCTGCTGCTGGCGGGCGCCGCGCGCCCCGCGCCTGGCGAGCAGCGCCGCTGCTGCGCCTGCGCGCCTGCTGCACGCAGAGGCCTGCGCGCGGCGGCGGCCGGCGCGGCGGCGTGGCAGCGGCTGCGCAAGCCAAGCCAACAGCCCGCGGCCGGCGGCGCTGCTGCCCGCGGGCGCGGCGGGCGCGCGCCTTCTCCGCCAGCTGCAGCCTTCTCCTTGTGCGTGTGCCGAGGTGCTGGCGTTGGCGCGTGGCGCCACCCGCCGCTGCTGGCGCGCGCGCCGCTGCGCTTCCGACAGCGCGCTGCTGCTGGCGCAGTGGCGTGTTGTGTGGCGGGGCAGTGGCGTGGAGGTGCGGCTGGCCGCAGCGTGCGCGCGGGCGCAGGCCAGCCCGATGAAGCCTGGCGGCCCGTGGGCGCGTGTGGCCGGGCGGGGCGGGGGCGTGCACCCGCCGCCTGCGCCGCCTCCGCGCCGCCGCCGCCCGTGCCTCAAAGTGGCAAGACCTCAGGGGCGTACACCTGTCAGGGAACGCCTCGGGTTTGTGATATTGTACTGTCTATATCTATATCTAATATCTATATCTCATATCTATATCTATTTATATATATATATATATATATATATATATATATATAATATATATATATATATATAAATAGGATATGGGATATAGATTACAAGGATATGATACTAGATATAAGATATGAAGATATACTGTTACACTTATTTTGTGTATAATCCCTGCGTCTATTATGCAATTTTTTGTATTTCAGTACATTGTTCCAGTTTAGAAAGAAATTGAAGATGATTTTTTTCTACGTGCGTGCTAATGAAGTGCGTTGGACACGCTCGAAAATTCAAACAATGTTCTCGTAAAATAGTTTCACATAAGTATACAGCCTTTATTCTTAAATGTTAATTTCTTTAAATGTAGTTTTTAAAGGAAGGCATTTCGATGTAGGCTATGTTTTTCAAAATCAGTATTATTGGTAAAGCAGATCTGGAAGAAGTACTTATGTTCCCATTATTTTTTTCCGACTCGTTAAAGAAATGGTGATACGACATACTAACTTAAGTAATATGCTTCTAACAGCCTCGGCTGCCCCGGAGAGAGCCACCAAACCTCCAGCCTCCGATGAATGGACGTGTTTTTTGTGCTTATAGACGGACTGTTTCAGATCTGGGGCCAACTTCTGATTGATGACAGATTTTTCAGTCAACTTACAAAAGACGTTGATTTCATTTTGTATTGTCAAGATTCCGATTGTAATTGCAATAACATGAAACATTTGATCGTAAATAAATATGTAACAGTTCTCAAGTTTTTCTCACATTTACTTGATTGTTCTTAATTTTATTAAAAAATGTCGTATATTATACACAAATTATATAGCGTCATTTTTGGAAATATATTTTGTATTCCGTTTTTGTGTTTTAGTTTTTCCTTATTTTGCTGATAAATTAATCTCAATTGTCTATTCAATTGAATTTTGTAATTGGATTCTGCTGTTTAGTTACCAGGAAAATCTTCTTATTGCTAAGTTCAACTGTGGAGAATATAAAATCATAAAGCAAAATGTTTGGATAATTCCTGCTGTTTTCCCTCTATGTTTGTGGCTCGAAGAAAACATTTCATCGATAAATCGATTGGGTCAATAAGGATGTTATACACGTTCTGTAACTTTTTATTTGATTACCAAACATTACAAACATCTTCAATTGCAATCTATTTTAATAATAAGATAACCAAATAACATCCTCATTTGTCATCTGATCGAAACATTTTACTCGTCATCATAATTGAAATAACCTTGGTTTTTATATGAGACACTTTCTGTAC